TAAATAAAGTAAATGAAATAAAAAATACAATAAATTTTTACACAATGAAAAATTATATAACTCAAATATTACTTTAATAGGTCCTATAACTATTATTTTTAGTGGTTGCATGTTGTACTTATATAGGCACTTATACTATAAACTTAAGTGTTTGGAAAATTGTCACCATAACAACCACACTTATATCTGTGTACTTTATAGAGTAACTAGCTTTCTAATGATGAATTAAATATAGTTTATGTATTTATATAAACAAAAATTCATATTTCATTGAAAATGAATTTTTATTTTCATACATAATTATTGATGAACAAAATTTATTTATACATATTAATTTATTATAATACATAAACATTTCATCTGAATATGATATAATGTAAAACATTAAATATAAAATAAGATTTTATACTACATATTGAAATAGATTTTTTAAAGAAAGCAGGTTTAGTTTTGTTTCTGGAAAAATGCAATTTAAATTACATTCTTATTAATTATGTATTTACGATCACTTTTACATTATTATGATTATTGTAAAATTTATAAGTAAAATTTGATTAAAAATAAGATATTAGTAAAATTAAATAATTGTACATTGTTAAACTATGAAAATCAAAATGAAATAAAATATTAGTTTCCTATAAACATAGATTAAATATATATTACACTAATCTAAGTGTAATTTAGTCAAATTATATTTATAAAGAAGTTTATTGATAATTCTATATTCATAGCATATTGATCATATCCATCAACTGTTTGAACTATTTATATCATAATGTGAAGTTTATAAAAAAGAATACTTCCATAATTCTTGTATACTGATATAGATATTTAAATATTATACATAATGTGAATTCTATATTAGTATTTATATATTGAAAACTTTTTTTATTTGCTGCTTTATTATAGTTTTCAAATTTTAAATGTCTTTTATAATATGCTATAATTTATGTAATGAATTAAAATAATGGGTGAAAATGAATAATAATATAATAATATGTATCATAATTTACACATTAGAAAAATTAATGATGTCTGTATGTTATTTTAAGCCGTTGGTTGATCCTGGATTACTGTAGTTTCATCCGGATAATTTAAACTATATAAAGCAAGAAGTGCAGATTTTGCTGCTATTTTCTTAGCATCTTTCTTGTTCTTTGCTGCAATATATATTAATTTTTAATTCTTTTTACAACAAAAGAAAACATGAAATAAAATTATGAATAAAGATATGAATGTTTAAAGTAAAATGGGAATCATTATATTACCTGTTCCAGTATATTCAATACCATCAATATCTACAGCAAGAGTAAACATTGTATTTGGTGGATTACCAACTCGATTAAGTTCTACATATGTTAAACCCGGTCTCATTTGATTTAATAACATTACAGGGTGTATACTTGTTGCATTTGCTGGCAGTTCTTTCTGAACTGGAGTTTTTTGGACATGAGAAATCTCTCTTTTAATTCCCTTAACAGGTGATGGCAACCCTGGTCTTGGAACTGGAACTGATGTTCCTTGATTATGCCATTCAAGGAAAAGTTTATACAATGCAAAACTAGCTAAAGAACTCCATGGAATTTCATCACTTTCGTCAACACTAGTATCCATTGGCGTTCCACCTTCTTCATTAATTTCTTCTTTTATTATATTAGATGATTCTATAGCTTGAATTGATTGTCCATCTGATTCAGCATCAATACGTGCTTTCATAGATGCTGCAGTCATTTTTTCAAGTAATAATGCTTTTAACGCATTTTCAGCAGCATTTTGACGAGCAAGTGGTTTGGATAAACCTTGTCCAACATAAGTTTTACCATCAAGCTATTTTTAATAATAATAATAAAAATTTTAAAATTTTTCTATTTAATATTTATTTAAATATACTAAATTATTCTAAATACCTCTGCATGAACAAGATATAGGGAATTTGGCATATGTCCTTGAGTTTCAGGAAATGTGAACTGTACTCCAGGTTTCATTTCATTTAGTACCATAATTGCATTTTTTGGTTGCAATGTTTTTCTTAGACGTTGATTCAAACGAAGACGTTTTAGTCTTTTATTTACCCTAACTAAAAGTACAAATTTTATTAAATTTACTAAGCTATGATATATTTCATTAATTTTTTTATATATTTACATCAGGATATTAGTATTCACAATGATTATAAATATGCAACAACTCAACAGTAATTTACTGGAGCATATAGCAATAATTTTAATCTTCAAATTTGCGCAGTGAATTATCATCATAATAATTAAATGATGAAATATTAAAATATAAATCAATACAATCTTAATAACAATTATAGTTTGCAAAAAATGTCTTCAATAAACAGAATTAAAAAATTGTTAATGATTATTTAAAATACTTACATCCAGGTGCCTTACGTCTCCATCTTGGATGTTGTTCTTGGATTTCAATATCTGTATTTTCAGGCACTTGATTTTCATTATTTACTTCAGATGTGCTATTGCTTGCTGGTGGTGTAGGGTTAGAGTTAGTTGTTAAAGATGTTGAAGTAGGAACTAATGGTTGAGAAGATGAAACAGGATTGTTTTGCATAATAGGTACATTTTGTTGCTGAGTATGGGAAGGTTGTTTTAAAATTGGTTTCAATCTTTGAGGTTGAGATTGAGATTGAGATTGCAATTGAGATTGTTGTTGGGATTGTGACTGAGGTTGTGACTGAGTTTGAGTTTGAGGAGAGGTTATCATAGACTGTTGCTGTTTAATTTGCTGTGATAACTGTTGCTGCTGTGGTTTCCCTTGCTGTGGATTTTTTGCTGCTACTTGTTGTATTTGTGGCTGCTGAGATTTCCCTTGTTGCAGATTCCTTGTTGATACTTGTTGTTGTTGTTGTTGTTGCTGCTGCTGCTGCGGTTTAAATTGTTGTGAATTTTGTGCACTTCCTTGTTTGTAATTACTTTGTTGATTTGGAAGAGGTTGTGTTGCTTGAAAACTGCCTTGCTGACTGTACTGCAAAACATAGGGTGGGTCGCCGCTACACAAGGAACCTGTACGGTTGTGCTATCCCACCAAGGTCTAGCATCGCATATGCACATGAATGTCTAATGCTACCCCCATAATTCATACCAACCAAATTATCTTTGTGGCCGATATTTCTTTATGTATAACTGAACTGAGTTTATATATAATAAACATTAAAAAAAAAGTACAGAAATCTAAGTAAAAGTTTTATCACTATGTGATTTATATCTATAATAAATATAGTTTTACAATATATTATATGTAAACTTTGTTCATATTTATGAAAATTATAAATAAAAATTTAATGAATAGAAAACTGTAAAATTAATATGATCTATTTTTATGTTTCATAATTATTAAATCTTAACATTTCATCTTAAATATATATATGTCTACTAAAAAAATCTATATAAATCTATTAAAATAAGTTAATTTTGTAATTCGTATCCAAAATATAATTATTAAAAATAACTAATATTATTTTTGTTTATATTATATAAACATCAGTTCAGTATGTTATTAAAAATATGGCCTACGGCAGGCTATGCTATGTGGGTAACTGACGAACTAGTCCCTGGCTGAATAGACCTCCTCGGTATTTTTGTATAGCTACTAGTTCCTGCATTGCAGGGGAGGGGAAAGTAGGGACCACTAATTAGTACATGCAAATGGATGAAATACTGAAAACAACAAATGGAACAACTATACATCTTAATTATGATGAATTTCAAATCTTTCTTCCTCTTTTTTTCTTATATAGCATTTTTTTTTTAGCTAGAAATACTTATGCTTATATTTATAGATCATTTTATAATAAATTTCTGATATATACAATGAGGTTAATAGATATATATACAATACAGAATTCTACTTTATTTTAATACATGTATTAGAGAATATTAAAAAATATTTCCAATCTTTTAATACTTTAAATATTTTTTGTACTTATATATACATAAGTTTTATTATAAGTTTAAAAAATGTAAACGTTTCTATATTTTGTAAAAACATAAATTGCATTTTTAAAGAATGTTAATTTAAATTATTTAATATTTTAGATATTAACATATCAAAATTTTCCATTGTATTATATATAAAATTTTTAACATTTTTAACATCTTTAATACATTTAAATAATTCAAACCAATAAAGAAGTCAATTATAAAGAAATAAAACAATTTTATATACTTATATTTATGAATTATTTTGTGGATTTATCAGGATAATTGTATGGTACTGATAAAATAAAAATAACATGTTATTCATCTAAGATGATTTACATAGTATATTTTTATACATATATATATGTGAATTATTCATTTAAACTGTTTTCAAAAATTATGTATATATGTCTTTTTTATACTTTTCATTAAAATTATATAGTAAAATTATTGACAAAATAATAAACTTACAGTGCTTTGACCTTGATATCCTACGGGACTACTTTGGTTTCTTACTGTAAACATAATTGATTAAATTATTTTTTATTACAATAAATGATAATAAGATCAAACCATATTTAAGGCTTTACAATAAATATATGTGATTTTAAGATGGTTCAAATTTAAATTACTATATATAATAAAAAAAAATTTTATAATGTAATGTAAAGAAAACAAAAGAAATTGTAAAATTGTTTTGAAATGTGATTTAACATTATTAAGAGAGTACAATATGAAATACGTCAAAACATTCATTGTACGACGCCATTCTTTATAAGCCGGTATATAGGTATTGATTTTTTTATTACAGCTATTTATATACCTTCAATTATTATGGATAATGAAAATATATAAAAATATCCATTGTCTTAAACTATCAAAGCAAAATATAGAATAAATAAATATTCTTTTTACATTATTAATTAACTTACTGTTGGCATAGCCTTGACTTTGTCTGCTTCTTGTATACATGTTTAAGTTAGATTACTTCAAATATAATTAGTTTCAGAATATAAAAGTATTTTTTTACACATTTAATTCTGAAATATAGAGTAAAATTAATTTTTAGAAGACAAATAATACTGAAATATTTTTATTCCGTACTCACAAAACTTTTCCTATCTCGTTATAGAGAAGTAGGAAATGACGTTGTTTACTGTTGTCGGAAATAGCAAGTTCGCCATATTGATCATTAAGCGCATGTCTTAATAATAGTACGATTTTATAATTTTAATTTGAATAAATTTTTACAGTACATATAGGTATTTTGTTTTATTATTTGTGTAGCTAATAAAACGAATTTTCATTATGTATTATGTAAAAAAAGTTTTTTTACACAATACAAATATTTTTTATAAATTTAAGTGTAGTAAAGAATTTGTTAATTGTTATATTAATATACAAGCAAAGTTTAGCTAATTGTTAGAATTAATTATTAAAAAGCAATATTGATGAAAAAATTTTGAGTCCAAAAAATACCAATTCTCGATCTACATAAAATTTTTTGGGGTTAGAAAGGAGAGGAGAGAATTATAAAATTTTAGTTTCCAAGATATTAATAAAAATTCGGTATAATACATTGAATTTTATCTACATAACCAAGGCAAAGATCTTTGTGTAGTAGTCGTCGGTGATTCTCTGATAGCCAATGATGTAGATTGCGAGATCGAGGTCAGCATCCATAGGATGCAATGTGTGAATAAACTCGAGTACCTGCAACATTGTCTTTCAATAGTTGGAAAAATATATAACGTAAACCCAATTCTAATTCCTATTTTTTTAATCGAATAGTGCAAACGAATAAAAGAAAATGTACGGAAACGAAGTTTAATCATATTGATTGTAAATGTGACATCTTCTATATTAAGGCTATTACATCATCGATTACTAAAGCAAAAAATGATTGTTTAATAACTTTTGTATGAACAAAATTGCACCGAAAGTTTTTAATATCTCAGAAACTAATAAATAGCTGAAATTAAAATGTCATATTTGGGATCATTCCTCTTCCCCTCTATTCTCTTAACATTTTATATCATTTGGGAATTGGTGCTTTTAGGAACTACAGTTAAAAATTGTTTAATTATTTTTAAAAAAACAATGCAGTTCACGTAAACTATGTATAAATAAAGGCACGTGAAATTCATAAATGTAGAGGATTTAAATTTAAATTGAAATGTGACTGTATATATTGTTAGGCATTTAATTATAGCAATAATAATCGCAACGTATTTTACAAGATTTAATTTTTTGCCATTCAAGCATTATACAGTATTGCAAATTTAAAGTAACCCTTCCATTTCTTGCATAAACTGCATGTACGCATCATCTTTAGTTTTAGGTTGAGTAATTCGTATTGGTTGTGTTTCTGGTATCCTTTCTGAAAGTCTTGATAAAGTACTTGGTTTCTTCTTATCATCCCTTTTCACGCGAAGGGAAGTTGGTAAAAATCTTGTAACATCAGCTGCTAAATTTCTAATTTGTGGTTTTGCTTCAATAGTTGTAGTACTTTTAACATCTTTATCTTTTCGATTAATTAACTGTGGTGCAGCAGAAAGTACATTAGGTGTTTTAGGTTGTGATCCTGTTCCTGATTGTGCCTGCATCTGAGGATTTCCTATATTTGTCATATTTGATAGATTTGGCATTTGCATTTGTGGAGGAGGCATTCTTGGCATACTTGGTGGGCCAGGTCTTAACATTCTTGGCATTCCTGGTGGTGGACCTGTACATAATTATAAACAAGGTAATGATTATCAATTCATTGATAAATCACTAAATATCGTACATTATTCTTACCAGGAGGTAATCGAAGTCCAATACGAGGTGGTGGTGGTGGAGGCATCCTTAAATGTAATGGTGGTGGTGGTGGTCTGTACATTAAAGGAGGAGGTGGCAATCCCATAGGAGGCATTGTGTGTGGTTGAGTATGTTGAGAATGAGAATGTGATGTTGTGTGTTGATTATGATTTGATGAATGCTCTGATGCTCCCGGAGGTTCTAAATCTTCTTCTTCTATTTTACTATTACTAGATTTATTATTAGACTTTGAATTAGATTCATTTTCTGCTTCCAATAACGATAATCTTGCATTTAAATCTTGAGCTCGTTCAGTTTCCCGCTTTTTATGGACAACTTCCATTTCACGCATAAATTGATCAATATCTTGTCCTGCCATTGCTAACATTTTCTGTTGCAGAGTAGTTGGTTTTACTTTAGCTATATCTCTTTCTTTTTCTTTTTCTTTCTCAACGTCCTTATCTTTACTATCTGATTCTTGTTTATTATCTTCTTTGTCATCCGCGAATCGAATTGTTCTCGATTTTGGTGTTGATTCTTTAGTCTGCATGTAATTGTATAATTATTTAATACAATGTATGTAAAATGATAATATATTAATTAACTTTAAATAAATTAAGACACTAACCTTTTCAGATATGTCTTCATCATCACTTGATAGATCTGGAGGTGGAAAAGGTGGAACACCAGGTGGTTCTTTATTAGGTGCTAATGTAGGTATAGAAGGGGATGTTGCATATGCACTTGTTTTTTTTAAAATACTTGGTGGTATCGGTATGTTCATAAGGGGATGATGTTGTGGTATGTAATGTGGATGAGGAGGATACATATGTGCTGGTGGTTGTGGCATATCTGGTAAAGGTATTTGTGAAGTTAAAGAACCTGAAAAAATAAAATATTTATATGAAACAAATTTAATATTGTAATTTTATATTGAAATTTTTCATTTTAAATAGTATAAATAAATACCTGAGTACATTCGAGATATATCGTTGCCAGCTGATGGTAATGGAATTTCATCAACTTGTACTTGTTGTGCATGTCTTACAGCTTCAAAATAAGAAACAAGATCTATTCTTCTACGTTCATACTGTATTAACTGTTCTTTTAACTCAGCCCACTTTTCTTGATCATCTTTTGCCTGTGAAGAAACAAAAATAAGTACTTGTATAGTATTTTATTATATATTAACTATCAATATTAATTTAATCTTACCAATAATTTTTGGAGAAAATTTATAACCATTGTATAGGAAATACTTACATACATTTTTAAGACACGGTCTAGGGTCTCCTTTAATTTCTTTCGTTTATCTTTCAATACTTTCTCATTAAGTGGTGGTGGTTGCATGACATTATATTCTATAAATTATATATTATGTATATATTATAAAATTAATGTTGATGACTCATAAACTATGATACATTTTACTAACCCATTTGATCTATTTTTTCCATTTCTTCAATGATTTGTGCAGGATCTTTGCCCTTTAAAACAGCAGCACGTACTAATTGTCTTTGTTTTTTATTTTTCTTTAGTTCTTTTTTACGTGCTTCTTTACCTATAAAATTTATGAAATTTACAATTATTTGTAAATTATAGTTTATAATTATTTGTAAATTATAGGTTGAAATAAAATAAATTGTTTGGTTATGTTATATACTAACGTGCTTGATCAGTGGGATTCATATATTTCCCACTTTTTGTGGTATTTATCGAACGGCGACCCATGTTTTTTCTCTTAAAAAAGTTACTTAAAACGTAAAACTACACTGTATTTTCACAATTTTTACATTAAATAAATCATTATTTACATTTATTGTAACTATAGATTCACCATTAATACTGAATACACTATAGAGTGTAAAAACGTTTACTGGAGTCTGAGTTTATAGTTTGTCCAGTTATCAAAAAGTGATTGGAGTATAAATTAAAGTAAGTAACAAATAGGAAAATAAAACTCATACTTTAAATCAGCTTAAAGAATTTCATATATATCTATGTATAATGACACAAAAAATTTCTAACCCGGTTTTTATCACAAACAAAAGTCGGTCTATTAAGAATTTAAAATATATTTATTTAACATAAATATTGTAATTGATCAAACAAAGTGGTAGAATATTAGAAAATAATTATAATCTAGGTCAAACAGGTTAATGTTATGCTATTAATTATGTTTAGTAGTAAAATTAGATTTCAAACAATATTTTTGTTACTACGTTACAGGAAAAAATAAAAGAAAATGTTTCACATTGCACACGACATAGATAAAAAACCACGGACAAAAGATGTTAAAATACAAGAGGATATTACATTTTTTCAAATGGGATTTTCTCAAAATATTTTGGATGGGTTATCTGTTTGTGGTTTCCAAAAACCTTCACCTATACAATTAAAAGGAATCCCTTTAGGAAGATGTGGTTTTGGTATATAATATTTTTTCTTTTCATATATTTCAGGCTATAAGTTATTAACTTATATGTTAATTACAGATTTAATAGTACGTGCCAAGTCTGGGACTGGTAAAACTTTAGTATTTTGTATAATATCACTTGAAATGATTGATGTAAATGTATCGTCTGTACAAGTATTAATATTGGCACCTACTAGAGAAATTGCAGTACAAATTGCACAAGTCTTTTCATCTGTAGGTTGCGAAATAAAAGGTAAATTTTTCCTTAAAATTTAATTATCTATTTGATTGATAAATTAGAAGTACAAGATAAAATTATTTTTATATTTTAGGTTTGAAAGTTGAAGTATTTATAGGAGGAACAGCTATAGAAAGTGATAAAAAGAAATTGAATAATTGTCATATAGCTGTCGGTGCCCCAGGCAGAATTAGACACTTAATTGATAAAGGATTTTTAAAAGTTGAAAATGTTAGATTATTTATTCTTGATGAAGCAGATAAATTAATGGAAATAAGTTTTCAGAAAGATATTAAGTTTGTATAATAATGAAATATAAATTAAATTTATTGAAAACATAAAAATATTCATAGTGTTAATATTCATAGTGTGTTAAAATTTTCAGCTACATCTTTTCAAAATTACCACTAAGTAAACAAGTTATAGCATCAAGTGCCACTTATCCAGGAGATTTGGAAGTATTTTTACAGGCATATATGTGCTCCCCTGTTTTAATATCTCCAGATAATAATGAACCAATACTTCTTGGACTCACGCAGTTTGTAACAATTGTTCCTTCTCATCCGAATGCTATGAAACAGGTCTGATTTAATATTTTATGTAATAATATATGTCATATCAGTTTATAACAGTTTATAATATGTCATATCAGTTTATAACTGATCTATCATATTAAATATTATAATATTATTATCAAATTTTAGGTTCAAATAAAAATAGACGAATTAATAAAAATATTTAACAAAGTTCCGTTCAAACAAAGTTTAGTTTTCTCAAATTATCAAACAAGGTATTCTAGTTTCTGTTATTTACACTTTTTAAAATATTATGCTTATATTTAAAATACATTATCTTTTATAGAGCTCAATCTGTATGTAACAAAATTAATACTATGGGTTTTAAAGCAACTTTTATTGCTGGAAATCAGGATATGAATAAAAGACTGGAAGCAATTAATAAATTAAAGACTTTTAAATGTAAAATAATGGTAACAACTGATTTAACTGCAAGAGGCATTGATGCAGATAATGTGAATTTAGTTGTAAATCTTGATTTACCCATAGATGCACCAACATATTTACATAGAATAGGACGAGCAGGACGTTATGGATCTTATGGGCTTTCCATAACAATAATTGCAGAAAATGAATTAGAAATATTAGAACGATTATTAAACTCTGTTGGAGGCCCAAATTTTTATGTACTGAAACTTCCTTCAGAATATCCAAATGATATATGGACTGCTTCCAGTACAAAATTTGAAAAAATTTATGCAAAGTATGATGATGATAAAAGTCAATTTGATATTGAGCCTGTCACTGAAGCTATAAGTGAATTGTCTGTGAATAGAGAAATACACAATAATATAAAGTCAGAAGTTAATAAAACAGTAAATGATATAAATAAAGAAGTTGCAGATAATAAACAATTTTCTAATATGGAAAAAGCAAAGAATAATATAATTAATCTTTTCTGTTCAAGAAATATGCCTAACTTACAAAATAAAATAAAAGTTAATTCTTTATTTGTGCCAAGTATTAATTTAATAAATGAATCTGAAAATACTAAAAAAGAGGAGAAAGAGAGTATATCTACATCATATAGTGAATCTAAGCCGAAAGTTTTACATAGTTTCACACTGGATATATTGACAAATAATCTTTCTAATTGGCAGAAAAATAATAAAAATGTGATATTTAAAGTTGATTTATCAGATATACAAGGAGATAATTTATCAAATTCTAACACTGATACAATTATTGAATTCGTAAAGTATAATTTTCAAAATAAAAATACAAAAAAATCTTCTCTTTATTATAATTATGTAAATACTGATTTACATTCTGAGAATACAATGGAAAATAATAAATATAATAAAATTTACAAAATAGATGATTCAAACAAGAAAAGTCAGGAAAATAGTGATGTTACAATTATCTCAAATGATGCTCAAGATAGTGAAGATACTTTTGTTTTAGAAGAACTGAACTTTTACCTTTTAAAATATATACAAAATTTTAATACATTTTATGATGAATTGTGTTTAAACGACGAGGAAATACTATTAAAACAAGTATTTATTTGGAAACAAAAACTTGATTTTGAAATTAAATTATTAAATAATACAATGGAATCTGTAAAGAAATCTATACAAAAGTTCATATATCAAAAACACATTGAAATGCTCAAGGTGTTTTACAAAGTACAAAAGCAAGCTCTCTTATGTATTTATCCAGAAATACGAAATGATGATGAAATAGATGATACTTATTTATATTTTAGAACTTCTATAGATGAAAATATATTAGAAATATATAAAGAAATAGAAAATTTCAAAAGTTACCATCGAAAATGCAAAGAAAAATTTATTGCATATTTTCCATATCCTACTCAATTAGATTCATATATGCCAAATCTCATGATCTCTAAAACAGATAGAAAAGATTATCTCAATGCATTACAGTATTTACATTCAAATCCTTATCCTAGAGAAAACTTGTTACAAATAGTAAGTTTTGTCGCATTTATTGATGAGACTAGAAAGTGTAATTTAATACAAAAATTAGAGAGTTTAAATAACTTTTCATTTGATAAATTGTTGATAGTAATACAAACTGAATTATGTAATAAGGAATCAAATAAAAATAAACGTGAAGGACAAAAAGATAAATTATTAGAACATTCAGATATCATAAATCGAGATAAAAGTATTAAGTCAGAGAATAATGTTTTATATAATTCATTATCTAATATGGAAAATGTAACCACCGAAACAAAAAATGTAACTGTAAATGATGATAAATGGGATGAAACGAGTAACTGTAATTCTGATAATTCTAATAATTCAGCATCAAGTGAATTAGGTTTGGATAACATTTTTAAAATAGAAAAAATTACACGTCGTGAAACTTGTAATTTGAATAGTAGCACATCAAGCACTTTTTCTAGTGAAAATGATATTGCTAAGGAACGTAAATTCAATGGAAAAGTATATGCAAAAAATAAATTTCGTAGACGGAAGAAGATTCAAAAACAAGAAGATAGTATGAAAGACAAAGAACAATTTATGTATAAAAAGGCAGAAATTCAATATTCAAATAATACACCAAATCAAATTAGTAGATTATTTGATAGTAGTGACACTTATGAAAAACAATGCAAGTCACAAACGCAATCAGATTCATTATCTAAATCAATGACAGATTGTTTAAGTCCATCTTTTAGAAAAACAAATTTAGATCTAAAAAATAATCGAAGTGTTGAACATATATTTAATTCTCAGAAATTATATGTAGGTAATGAAACACAAAGTTTTGTTTCTGTTCCTAGATTTAATGAACATCAAAAGAACAATTACTATAATTTTGTTCCTACATCTCTAGCAAAAAATATTTCACAGAGACATTTAAGTGATACATTTACAGTTGATACAATTGATGTTTGTGATACTAATCATTTACAACAGAATTTAGAAAAATCTGTAGATACACAATATTATAATTCTTTTTACAATTATATGCCAAGTGTTTCTTATATTAATCAAATGGAAGATTATGAAAGTAATTGTAATGGAAGTAATTTATTTTCAGGAAATGTACATAATTTTTCTAATTTGCCAAATGAAAATATTACTGAAGTGGAAATTGATAAATTTTTATTATCATTAAGAACTGAAACAAATCGATTGCATTTAGAACTTTATAAATTAGAAATGCTCCGTAATTCGGGGAAGAGTTAATTAAAATTGATAGTATAAAATAATGTTTGTAAACAATTGCACGCGTGCAATATACCTCTGTGTATGTGTGTATGTGCGCCCGCATGTGTGCTGCTTATTATTAGTTAAATTTTTTGACAAATGAATTTGTGATTAATTAATGGTAAACTTTATATTAAAAATATACTGTATTAAGAATATGCTATAAAAATTTTTTATAATAATGTGAAGTGTTGTGTTTATAATATTGAAAAATGCAATTCATTAATCCTTATTCATTTTTGTTTATTCATTGATATATAGTTGATTTTTAGTAGAAATTACGATAACTCTTATAAAGTTGTCGATTATGAACATAATGTATTTAAAATTATTACTTCCTAAATTACATTCGCGTTATTTCATAATAAATATTCCTTAAATACAGGTTGAATTTATTGCCGAGTATGTTACGTATAAAATTATTCGTACACTTTTTTTTCATTTGATATTAATATTTTTAAAATATATAATCTATATAATTCATAATATTCTTTATCTTAAATCAATTCAAATAATATGTTTATGTAATTTAACAAAATTGTTAAATTTTGCAAACATTGGTTTTTACAGATTCTAAATTATAGGAAAAGGATAAATAATATGCACGTTAGTAGAATTGTAAATCATGTAGTTTTCGCGATATGAGAAATGTTAAATAATTTCATTTACTCGAATGTCATGTGCTGATTGTGAGTTAGAGGGATCAGGTTTCTAAGGCGTTTCTTCAAGGGGAGCGGGAAGAAAAAAACCACCTTACGAAACTCGTCTCGTGAGAATTTGGGGTACGCGTTTGTGTCCGTCCTTTATTCGCAAAATAATCGTTTGAGCAGCCCGCCTAGTATACTTCAGTCGGTTACCACGTGCTTTCGCGTGAAGGAGTCTCTTAATCGTGTTCGCGGATGTCGTATAGTTAATTGTTAAATATATCATAATTATTTTTTTTGTAGATTACGTGCGTTCGTTTATTTACGTTTAGTGCTTAGAAAGAAATATGTCATTCTCTAGAAAATACTTCAAACGGATCCCGATTTACGTAGTAGAAAATCACGACGAGGTAAGTTTCCAAATGATCAACATCTTAGTTTGTTTACATCGCAACTTGTTCTGTCTAAATTTTCTCGTTAGCACGCTAGAGGCGCTGCGAGCGCTTTAGCCACCAATGACGAGTTGGTCACGTGATTAAAAGCGTTGAAATTAGAATCGCGCAACGTTAAATTTAAACGGTAGTAGAAATTTGAATTTCTTGTGAAATTTTGCATTTTTTTATTAGGTGCTACCGTTTATTTATCGATGTTTGGGATCGAAACATCTTCCGTTCGAAGGAAACGCATTCGTGCATTTAGACTCGCATCCTGACATGCTTATACCGAAAACGATGTTGGCGAATACCGTATGGGATAAAAATCAATTATTTAGGTATTTTAAATTTCTTATCCTTCTTAATAATAAACTTTAGTATACTAATAGTATACTATTAAGTAAAAGTTGTATATATAAAAAAAATGTTGATTTGTTAAATATATTTTCTTATGTATTACTTATTTTATTAAGTATTTATTTTATTATCAACATTTACAGATTTTTGTAATTTTGTTTATTGTATTTTAACATATGTATAAATACATCTTGGAATATGTATTGTGTTAAACAATTTGAATATGAGAAGATTAAATTGATCTTTGTATTAAAAAGAATTTGTACATAGAAAACATAACATTTCAAGATCAATCTCAGTGTGATTAGTTTTATTAATTACACTTTAATTAGACTTGTTATTTACTTGTTATTACACTTGTTATTCTTTGTATTAAAAAGATATCTTTGTATTAAAAAGAATTTGTACATAGAAAACATAACATTTCAAGATCAATCTCAGTGTGATTAGTTTTATTAATTACACTTTAATTAGACTTGTTATTTACTTGTTATTACACTTGTTATTTTATATGTTCCTTCTAAAAATATTTTATGTTTTCTATGTATCTTCAGTTATATGATTTTTTGTTTATTACTTAATGAATATTATTTTATAAAAATTAGTTTAGGTTCATGAAATCATTCTTTACATTGATTTTTATGTTTAATTGTATGTTTTTATTTCTAAATTTCAATTGTTTCTGAGATACTAAATTACATATCTTTATCAATAGTGAAATTAGCATCGAAAACTGGATATTACCTGCTGCGTATGCTGGTCACTTTAAGCATCTGATCTGGGTCAAACCACCGTGGGCAAATCAAATGGTCGATGGCGTAACAACCTTCTTCATCGGCAAACATAAGGACAACGGATCAATAAGGTAAGTCGCAATTTTATTATTTTATTTTCATCGTATATCAAATGGAATTATGGTTGTAAATGCATTGTTAATCATCATGTGTTTGTATATACAGGCTGTCCCATAACTGATGGTACAATCAAATAGGAGATAATTCTATGTGAAAAAATGAGTCAAAAAGAGAGAATAAAATTTGTTTATTTGAGGTTTTCAAGAGAATCGTTTGAAAATTTATCAACTTGAATTTAACTAATTCTAGACGTGACAGAAAATTAATAATAGAATAATTAATAATTAATAGAAGGTTATCCTACACGCGAAATTGAGTAAAAAATGTAGAATAAAAGTTCTTTGTAAGGTGCTTCGTTTTCGAAAAATTTGAAATTGAATATTTATCAACAACAGATATACTAAGGCAATTTGAAACATGTTTAAAGTCTATTTTCTTGAAAATGACGTCTTAAACAAAAAATTTTATTCTATATTTCTCACTTATCTTTGCACATAGAATATTCTTGTACCGATTATTCGTGGTTTTAATACGGAATTAGCCAACTTTATATTTGAGATTTAATTAATTTAATTATATTTGAGAAATTTTTAAATTTGATTTTCTTAAAAATGAAGACTTCAATGAAAAATTTGTATTCTTTCTTTTTAGACTTATTTTTTCACGTATAATCACTTCCCAGACGATTGTACCACTAGAACGTTCTATAAATTGCATACTTGTTAAAAATAAATATTTTTGGATTTTAATTAAAATAATGATATCTGTGAGTATTAACACTAAACGTACCGACATTGTACATCTTACCATAAGGGGTCAAATGACCCCGATCGGTACATAAGA